TATTGTTGAGTTCACTTTAGATATGCATTGAATAAAAAGATTTATTAAAAAATAATGGGTCTCAGGAAGTCACTAGTTTGCAGGTGACAGTGGAAGAAGTGTACATCAAGAAGGAAACATCCCTCCCTTGAAGATCTGTTTTTTGTTTGAGAACCGAAAAAAATGTGCACTCTCTCCACCCCGTTTACACACGGAGGTGTGGAATTTAAATATGTTTTGACAAAGTGAGGAGAACTGTCTCTGTAATATATTGCTGTCAATGAGTTTTAGAACTATTTCCCTTGCAGGTTAAGAAGAAAGGCCAGGAGAGGAAATGACTAAATCCTCTGTATGTCTTCATTGACAGCTGATAATTAACATGCAGCTTAGCAATAATAATTAGTTCCCTCTTGAGAAAATTTCCGGATGAACTCTGAGTTGGCGTAGCTCAGTTTCGTCTTGTTTCTTTGTCCACTGCCTCCCCCAAGTAATTCATGTTATTTTTAGAGGAAGAAAAACTCAAGATGAGCTCCCTCCTTTTAACCGAGTCAGCCCTGTCCATTGTTTGCTCTGTGTTTTCTGGAGATTACCTGAGATTAGAGTGTCTGTTGTCCCCCTCTTCCTGTATGTTTTCTGATTCTTTCATGTAAGCAGCTTGAAGCAGTCTGAGGGATAAAGAAGTTAGCCATCGCTTAGTAAATATGCCAAGTCCGTGGACTATAATTTGGAACTAAGATCACTAATAATATTACTGAAAGTGCTAGCTCTAAAACTAAGAGAAAAAAAATTGAGGAGAAAAGCTTTCTGCTCGAGCTTCCTTTGGCTTTAGTATACACCAAGAAACAAAAAATATTTTAATTTTCTCAAAAGTAAGATGAAAATGTCACGAATTGATAAATGAAAGCAACATGAAAAATTCTGTAGTTATTTGAGACAATTTATAAAATAGGAATAAAAGTTAATAACAATTAAAATTGATATAAAACTGAATTTTTCTGTTGATGTTATTGCTGTTGAATTATTTTGAACTATAACAAGCCCAACTATTGAATATTGGGAAAACCTTCCATTTTGTCTTGTTATTTTTTTTCTTTATTGATTAAGGTATTACATCTGTGTCCTTATCCTCCTATCTCTCCCTACACCTCCCCCCACTCATGCCCTCACCCTCCTGGTGTCTGTGTCCATTGGTTATGCTTATATGCATGCATACAAGTCCTTTGGTTGATCTCTCCCCCTAACTCCCACCTTCCCCTACCTTCCCTCTAAGGTTTGACGGTCTGATCGGTGCTTCTCTGTCTCTGGATCTGTTTTTGTTCATCAGTTTATGTTGTTCATTATATTCCACAAATGAGTGAGAAGATGTGATATTTATCTTTCTCTGATTGGCTTATTTCACTTAGCATAATGCTCTCCAATTCCATCCATGCTGTTGCAAATGGTAAGAATGCCTTCCTTTTTTTTTACCATAGTGTAGTATTCCATTGTGTAGATGTATCACAGTTTTCTAATCCATTCATCTGCTGATGGGCACCTAGCCTGTTTCCAAATCTTAGCTATGATAAATTGTGTCGCTATGAACATAGGGGTGCATATATCCTTTCTGATTGGTGTTTCTAGTTTCTTGGGCTATATTCCTAGAAGTGGGATCACTGGGTCAAATGGGAGTTATGAGGCTCTACAAAATGCATTTGATTTTAGATACCTAGCCCCCTAATAGACTTTCCCTAGTTGCTCCTGAAGAGAGTTTTATATATAATAGGTTACAGAGTCGTTGTTAGAAGTATTGATCGACAGCCTCCTGGGTTGAGCCCACAACCCAGGCATGTGCCCTGATTGGGATTGGAACCAACAACCACCTCTTGGTGCATGGGACGACACTCAACCAACTGAGCCACACTGACCAGGGCTCTAAAAAAGAAATAGGAACTGCCACCTTTAGATTATAAGAATTACAGCAAGCACAACAGAAATTGGCAAGTCATAAAATCAAGTGGAAATTGATCTCTCTCTCTCTCTCTCTCTCTCTCTCTCTCTCTCTCTCTCTCTTCTCTCTCTCTCCCTCCCTCCCTCTTTCATTTGTCTCTCTGTGCATACAAGGGTAATGAGGGCCTAATGACATCACTAGGAAACAAGCAAGGTCATCCCTAAATGGAATTCATTCATGGGGTGCCTCCTTTACTGATTGGGCTTCCTCTACATTTCAATTCATACTTTTTAATTTAGGCATGAACTAATCCACTGTAGCAACCTTTTAGGGTAGAATCCTCATATTTGATTCCATTCATGACTTTCTCTATTTTCCAGCAAACTTATTCCCTAAGCTTTGAACCTTAGTATATTTGGTAACTCTAGAGTTTAGAAACCTGTTAACGTTAAATAATACATAACCATTTTTTGACAAGTTACATCCTTGCCGATAATGATTTTACTGCATAAAACTTGGGGAATTTTGGCAACCTATTAGAATAACTGGAAAAATGTTTTTTAGAAAGGAATCCACTTATCAGTCCTGTTATAAAACCATGAGTATATGTAAAGGCAGTGGATAGCTTTTTTGTTATGGGATTGATTCCTAAAATGCACATGTTCTGCAATTTTTGAATGTCTAGTAAGGAAGGAAAAAAGTATGATTCTATTTTGACAAATTTGTCTTTCAGGATTCAAGAACAACTAAATCTCTCAAATTTCTATTTTATTTCTCCTCAAATAAAGCACCTAATTATTCTCTCCATCTCTTCCTCAGACTTCTTCTAAGTTTCTTTATTAGATAGTCAAATGACTCAGTACCACAAGTTTTACCTTTATAAGGAATAATTCAATTTTAGCAGTATTGCTTATTTTAAACTAAAGATTAAAAGTTAGCCCTACTCCACAAAATTTGGGATATCCATGTAGTAGAGATATAAACAGTGAATATATCCGTAATAGATAAGAAAAGATACTTCATCTCTCTTTTCTCAGAAACAGTATAAGATTGTGCAGAATCCTGTAGATTTGTCATATTTCATATTGTTCTATGGATAAAATGTTCTGGTCACCTATATTCCACATTCTATCAGATGCATTCTATCAAAGGCATTGACCTTTAGAAAATGAAGTCATTTTCTAATTTTGTCAATATTTCCCAGGGAGCCCTCTTCAGGAATTCTCTAGCTTGCAAGGTCTAGTATTACTATTGGAGGGAAGAGGTCCTTGGCCCCACCTGTTGCTTGTGGGAGTGGGCTTCTTTCGATATCCCAAGAAAAAGAATTTTATGAGACTTGCATGGGAGAACGAGTGATTTTTATTTGCATATAATTAAATCCCTTTTCCAAGGTTGCATTTCCCTCAGCCTCACCAAGGAAGAAGTCCCATTTTGCCTTTAGCAGGACTAAAATCAAAGCCAATGTTTGGAGCTTCCATTACATGTTGGAGCAATCCAGCCCAGCATCAGGCTAGCTTGGTTTGTATTCCTAGTTACAACCCATCAGTCCATTGCATGTGGGGTCCACAGGGCCACATGGCTATAGAGAAAACATGGGAGAATGCAAAGAAGCAGGAACAAGAGAGCGAGCTGTGAGCCAAAAGAGCTGAGAGATAGAGATAGAGATAGATAGAGATAGAGATAGAGATAGAGATAGAGATAGAGATAGAGATAGAGATAGAGATAGAGAGCACATTTTTCTTTAGGGGATTATGTATTTCCAAATTTTTGTGGTCCTGCAGTAGCCCTACCCATTCTGACCAATGATCTTTGTCCCCAGGTTTGACTGACAGGCACCTTCCCTAGTCACGCCCACTTCACTGAGCATGCATCTATCTCCCCTTTGTTGGACCCCTTCCTGCAGTGATCTGTAGGGAATGGGCCAGTGGTTCCCTGTGAGTATGAAATTAAAGCTTTCTAGTGAAGCTGCCTACATGACCATGTTTACAATGTGTCACCTTCCTTTCACTCCTTTCCTATTATTAATAACTGACTAATTACAATGGTATCAGTATTGGGGATGATATCCTCTCTCATCATCAAAGACTCTCATATATCATTTACCAATCATAAGTACTGAACTGCTACATGCAATTAAATACCTTCAACAAGCAAACAAATGTATACACATAACGTGTTTCCCTGATTCTGACTTCCTAAATTACATGTATGTTAGTTAAAACAAACAATTTGTAATTTCTGATGTTGGGAAGAATGCATAACAGTAGCCAAAACACAGTGGTAGAAAGTAGATCTCCACCAGGTTTATCACTCGTCCCCCCTATACTGAATGCTACCATGGGTTACCTCATTGTATTAACAAACCTGATCTTTCCCGGACTTGAACAATTTGACTTTGGACATGACTTTCAAAACCAATTTCTGAGTTGGTGTTTATCTGAAATTAAAGGGGAATATTTATTGTAGATTTGGGATGTTTGTTGCACATAGAGAAGTACATATAAAAGTCATTAATGGAGTTTTTCACACAGCACTTTAAAGACTGTGAAGAGCAATTCTTTCTGTATTTAAAAACATAGGGTAAATACCTTAAGCTGAATTGAAGTTTTGAGATTCATAAACTTATAAAAGATTTTAACTCCTGCACATTAAAATATATTCCTAGTTGCACACCATTTTTTACATAATGCACAAATATTTTTTAACTTTTTCCAGTTTTGAGATATAGTTGTGATATAACATTGTTAAGTTTAAAGTGTACTGCATATTGATTTGATATGTGTATATGTTACTAAATGACTACCTACTACAAGAAGTTTAGCCTCCAACAAGTCACATCTTTAGAATTTTTTTCTTTTGAAAACTTTTACGAACTTTTCCCTTAGGAACTTTCAAATATACAATATAGAATTGTTAATGCACGGTGTATTTTTAATCTTTTTGAGTAATACTTTTTACAGCCTTTATATTTCTGATAAAATGAATGTAAACTACACAGTTCCAATAGGTATAAAAAATGGAGCCATGAGAAAAGTATTGTAAAGGTATTTTTGTTTTCTCTTGTGTTTAGCATTCATTTCCTTTTGCATTTCAGAGCTCTTGGAATTAAACAGAACATCAATCTTTCATAGTCCTTTTGGATTTCTTGATCTCCATACAATGCTGCTGGATGAATATCAAGAGAGACTCTTTGTGGGAGGCAAGAATCTTGTGTATTCCCTCAGCTTGGAGCAAATCAGCAATGGCTATAGAGAGGTATGGAAATATCAAACTGTATTTCAGGAGGGAAAGTAAAGAGGTGAGGGAGATCTTATCTTGCGTGAGTGTTATTAGGATTCTTTTTTTCATTACCTAAATGATACTTCTTTTGAAAAAATGAAGTATTCATTAAAATGAAATCACCTTGAGAAAAGTTTATGAATTGAGGATATACAACATTACACTTTTTAACACTGATCTCTGTATTCCCAGATGACCTCAGATTGGTGCATTTGACATCCCTCTTGCACGATGCTCCTTGTCACGGTATCCATTGTCCTGAAACTTGGGTTTGGAACATGCTGATTTATCAGCAGTCCCTGTAAGCTCTATTACTCCCCAAATCCCAGCCTTAAGAAATATGGATATAGCTAACTCGTGTACTTCTGTTGGTACTATAAGTAATATAGGTGGATGGTCTTTAAACCAGGTAGATTTAAAAATAATATTACAATAGGCAAGTGTCCAACATTTTTTGAGAAACTATTAGCTATGATAAGAAAAATAGCTCTTAAAGTCTGTACTTATACAAAGTTAAATTGAGCTAAGTTTTTTTTTTTTTTAGGCCCATATCAAACTTACATAAAACATGTAGAAATATTTAGATGATAGTATTTTTTGGCATAAATATAAGCATCTATATATATATAGCCAGCGACCATAACACCGGAATGACCTGAACGACCGGTTGCTATGATGCCCACTGAGGCCAGCGAACCCACCCAATCAGGGGTGGGGCCAGTTGGCCAACCTCGCGTGGCCTGTCCCCACAGCCAGCCCAGGCCCTGATCAGCCCGCCCCACCCTGAATCGCCCACAGCCCCTCCCCCCTGCCAGCCCTGCCCCTGATCACTCCCCCTACCCCAATATGGGGCGGGGCCAGCCAGTCAACCTCCTGCAGCTCCTCCTCCTGCCCAGCCCCACACCAATAATGGCAGGGTTGACCAGCCAACCACCTGCAGCCCCTCTCCCTGGCCAGCCCTGCCCCTGATGGGCCCCCACCACCACATTCAGGGGTGGGGCCCATTGGCCAATCGCCCTCAGCCCCTCCCCCAAGCTGGCTCAGCCCTAATCGGGCCTTGATCAGGGCAGGCCAGCCAGCCAACCTCCCACTGTCTCCTCTTCCCTACAGGCCCAGCCCTAATCCACCGTGATTGGGGCCAGGCTGGCTGGACCCCACCCATGCACGAATTCGTGCACTGGGCCTCTAGTTTCTTTATAATTTACTTATTTATTATTGTGTGTCAAAATGATTGATGTTTATATTTGAAGGTCATTTTTATTAAAAATTTATGATTAAAAGCAGCATTCATTCATCCCTTCCAGTTCCTAAACCCAAGAAGAAATCACTTAAAATTATTTTTTTGTTTCTTCTGGTACCTACTCCCATATTTCTAAATAAAATTTTTGTACTGTTTTTTTGTGGGTTTTTATTTTTTTGTATCATTGATTTTAGATGCTACCTGTTGATTTACTAGAAGTCAACTTAAGGAAGATGAATTTTCTTCTCTTGCAGTACCTTGAGCTGGGCTCTGTTATTGTACACCACTTCACCAGCAACCTCCCAACCATCAGTTCCCCATTGCAAAATAGCTATACCACAAGTTTTAGTTAAGTAATAATTATTTACATTATTATAATTAGGAAAAGAGATCACACTTTTTTTCTTTTTTTTCAATTTTCTTATTTCCTAGGATTAAATATTATCCCCTATTTTTCATTTGCTTATATTTTTAATTTCCCCAAAACTCTGTACCAGAGTTTTTATATGCCTCTCAATATAATAAAACACATCAATTCCCATCAGTTCTAAATTTTTGGTGTGTTTTTTTTAAAAAAATATATTTTTATTGATTTCAGGGAGGATGGAGAGGGTAAGAGGGTTAGAGAGATAGAAACATCAATGATGAGAGAGAATCATTGATCGGCTGCCTCCTGCATGCCCCACCCTGGGGATCAAGCCCACAACCCAGGCATGTGCCCTGACTGGGAATGGAACCATGACCTCCTAGTTCATAGGTAGATGCTCAACCACTGAGCCACGCCAGCCAGGACAGGTATTTAGATTTTAGCTTTTCTAGTGTGCAAAGCCAGTCAGCACTCACCTATATATTATAGAACTTCCAAATTTCTTTGGCAACTCTACTTAAGTTCTGTTTGTCCTTTTTGAATTATGACTTCTTACTTTTGTTTTAGTAGTATCAGAATGAAGTAAAATCACATATTGTGTTCATCTCCAAATCTTTTTTTTTTCTTCATCTTTAATTTTATTTTCTCTGTAGCTCTGAAAAAATATTATTGATTTCTCTCTTTCCTCTTTTTCTCTCCACATAAAACACACACACACACACGCACACACCATCCTCACTTAATGCTTTCGGTTGGTTCTTGGAACTGTGGAGAAAGACATATAATGAAATCAGTTTAATTGTTGGACACAAAAGTTGAGTTCTGTGGCATCTCCTCAACATTATAATGAAATGGTATTATTTGAGGAACTGGTGTGTGTGTGTGTGTGTGTGTGTGTGTGTGTGTGTGTGTGTGTGGTGTACACATCCAGAAGATATACACCAGGGATCTGACACCCAGAGATTAAGAATCTGCATTATGGAAGTAGTTGTCCTTGGTTCAGGATTAGCTAACTCATAGAGCGGGAATCCACATGAATAACACGCTTTTAAGATGACTGTGTGTACACACAATCTCTTAACAATTTTCCTGAGCTATTTCTTCCTATGTGGAACAAAAACCAAGAGATAGCATGTGATTGCCCGTTAGAGTAGAGGAAATTGAATCGCCTACTTATTCTCCTTTATTGTTTTGGCCTAATTGTACCTTCAGGCCTTTAATGCTGGAAAGATTGGCTTTTATGGAGGAAATGACCTGTAAAAACTCTGTAAGGGTAAGAGACCTGAAGAGTGATGAGGTTTTACGAACTGCATCTTAGGGAGCTAAATAAAATAGCGTGTGGCCATTGAAGCCTCAGGGTGCCATCCAGCAAGAATGTAGCCACAGATTATTAACTCGAATAACTTCCTTGTACTCAAGGGTGAATCCTCATTTTTGTGGGGCCTGAAGTGTGTATGATTTGGCGGACCTCTTCAGGAAATATAATTAATTCAAACTTACAAATTTCACAATTGCTAAAGCCCCTCCCAGAACCATGAAAGATTAGGTGCCACTAAGGACTCCTGAAGCTTAAGCTTCAAGACTATAAAATAAGCTAGAAAATATTTATAATGTAATGGAGAAGATATGTATACATATGCCATATATATATATTTCATAGATAGCATGTAACTCATGTATGGTCCAAATAAAATGCTAGGAAAGTATACAAAAGCTGGAGGTTGGGTTTTTCCTGGAGGATATATAATTTAAGTTGATTTTGAATGATAGTTGGAATTTTGGTTCAGACAGATTGGTGGTGAGAATAGACTGAGTAAAGGGGAAGAAAGACAGACATTTTGAGCAGTTTGAAATGATGACTCTTCACCTTGGCGGAAGTAGATAGGTGAAGTGAGGGCATGTGGTTGGGAACAGGGTACAGAGTTAACGATAGTAATGTGGTTGTGACCAGATCCTGAAGAATAGTGACCCCTGTGCTATTGAAAATAATCTTCTAGGCCAGCGGTTCTCAACCTGTGGGTCGCGACTCATTTGGCGGTCGAACGACCCTTTCACAGGGGTCACCTAAGACCATCCTGCATATCAGATATTTACATTACGATTCATAACAGTAGCAACATTACAGTTATGAAGTAGCAATGGAAATAATTTTATGGTTGGGTCACAACATGAGGAACTGTTTTTAAAGGGCCAGAAGGTTGAGAACCACTGTTCTAGGCAATACAGGAACCAGTGGGAGAGTCTGAATATGCCCATACCACATTTAGAAGTGGACTTTAGTGTGATTGTTTTAGCAGCAGCATAGCGGATACATGGAAGGAAGAAGAGTACAGAGCCATGAAGCCAGGTAGCAGTTAGAATTTAAAGCCACATCCATCCCTCTTAGCAGCTTATGCTCTTTCCACTGTCACATTATTGAGAACCAGGCTACTGCTTTGGTGTGAACTTCATGTCTCCCAGATTGGTCTTGAGTGTACCATTAGTTCTGCCTTTTGTTATAAGGTGTTTCTTTCCTATCAGTTCTTATTAGCTTTGCATGACCACACTTTAGTAATGGTTAACAAACTAGTGGGACAGTTAGATGTTGGTGATAGTGGTAGACAAAATCACTGACCAGTAGGAGAGGAACTGGAGCTCCTTTGTTTTCTTATGACAAAGGTTGAGAGCCCAGGACATTCTATATGCAACCACAGATGAGAAATTAGCTTGTCTGTGTTTTGTCCGTATAGCTCCTTGCAATCTGTGCACATTTGAGAATTATGAAAACTTTCTAAAAAAACAAATCACAATTATTAACTAGTTTGGAGTATAACATTTTCTTTATTTCACAAAGAAAGCAAAAGTGGATGTTTGTTTATTTAAGCTATATTTTATGGGACTTTATAGAATAGTTCATATTTAGTAATAAATTTTTTAAATAAACTTTCACCCAGACTTTTTGTTTGTAAATTTCAAATTTTTTTTTTCTAAAATTATTCTCTCCACTATTATTTTAAGCTAAAATTACACTAGTTAATTTGGATACCTGTAGGCATAGCTCTGTTAAACACTTGTTTGTAATAATATTTATACCTTCTTGTTTATTCACTTGATTGCATCAAAGGCAAAAAAATATATTTTAGAATTTAATTTTTAATTGAGTAGAGAAAGATATCCTATATAATAAACAGCTAATATGCAAATCGACCAAATGGTGGAACAACCAGTTACTATGACATGAACTGACCACCAGGGGGCAGACACTCAACACTGGAGCTGCCCCCTGACTGTCAGTGAGCTCCCACAGGGGGAGAGCTGCTCAGCCAGAAGCCCTGAGCCAGGCTCACAGCTGGCAAGTGCAGTGGCAGTGATAGGAGCCTCTCCCGCCTC